TGTGTTTTAATGCCAAAAATGTGAATTATAATTAAAAGTAATAAACAAACGTGACATAGGGTTGTGTTCTCTCTCTTTCTCTCACTTCAATCATGCCAAAAATGTGTCACACAATAAACGTTTATGCTCATACTTTTTAATGTATCACAATGAGCAAGAAACATACTTGATGAAATATTTTCAAAGGAGTATATTCAATTACCATCTACAATCAACTTAACTAGGACAACAAGGTTTTTGTGACAAAAGTTTCTCTTTAAAAGTCTGAAGTTCCATGTGGTTTATGTATGTTAGTCTCCATGTAATTTGGTACAGTTTGGAAATCTTCATCATATAATTACAGTAACAAAAAGCTAACAAGACTACAGTATAGAAAAGACATCAAGAACAACATTTTTGGTTTAACTTGCTCTTTTTGTACATTGCAAGGCTGTAAGTTCTACCCTCGGATGGGCTACCTGGAGCCACAGAGCCGTGCTTGTGAGGCTCGGAGGAGGAGGAATAATTTGAGGAGAACGAAAGAGAGAGAGAGAAAAAAAAAGGAAACACAAAAATCATCAAAAATGCTGTGGCACCAGTAGCCACTAAAGGAACAGGAAGCTCCAGCAGCAGTTCATCATTGAAACTGGAGCAAATGTTTGTTTTTTTCGTTTGGTTGCTTGTTAGTTTGGTTATTAATTTTGGTTGATTCGCTTTTTTGTGTTTTTCTGCTTCCTTAGGAATGACACCCAGGAAAATCCCCTCTCCTTGAACAGTAAAGTCACTCTTTATTGTTGGATGGATCCGGTCGACTCCACGCCAGAGTGGAACCACGTGTCAGTCACTGAAGCGGGCAGGAGGAAATGAAACAGGTAGCAACATCGTGAACTGGGAGACAACGTATGCTAGTGTTTGAGTCCATCCCGTTCAGAAGTGCAGAAAATGTCCAAGTAGATGCAGAACCAGAGAGAGAGAAAAAGGAGATAAATTCCTCTCCGTGTCACATATGTCCACTGGTTGCAGAGTCCACTCCCGTCGGCATATAGTGTTAGTTAAATAATGACTTGATATCGGGGCGCGTCGGCCCTGCCTTTGGCTCCCATGCCCAGTTTTGGTGTGTCAACAACAGCCTTCTCAGACATCTCAATGACATCTCTCAAGTTTCCCAGAGTTCGTTTCTCTTTATTTCCTTCTTTGTCATTTCAAAGAAAAGTGTTGATGTCTTCTTTAAATATATCTATATCTGTATACATGTTTATTTTCACAGTGGGCAAAAGGATGACCTCTACAGCAAAACCTGTCGCTTTCGTTCTCTCTTTGCAAAATGTCCACAAAAAAAAAAAAATCAAGTATCCCAATGAGAGTTGATGTATCTCAGCCACGTGTTGGATTAACCACAATAAATATACACTCATCAGGGGCACCAACTAAAGTTTTTCGTGTTTTCAACTGCATTAAGCTTTGGCCACATTCATATAATTAATGAAAATAATAACTGCTCAGTGCTTCGGTATCCTCTTTCACCACGTTATGCAATTATTGTGTTGAACATCAGACTTTTCAAACCCTTTACTGAAGATTCAGCTTTGCAGTTCAGTATGTTTTGGTGCGAAATGAAAGTAGAAAATAGAATACAAAGTATAAAAACTCAGACTGATGCTGGCTCTTATGAAACACACGCACACACGCTCACGCTCGCACATACAAAGTCCATGCTGGCTGAAACAGTGAGGGATTCTGCCCCACACGAGAGCCTATAAAAAACGAGAACACTTTGGAAGCAAGAGATACAATGGTGTCAAGACAAACAAATATAGGAACATTGTAACACCATAAAGTGGCCAGAGAATGATAGAAAACAAATAGATGAGATTTCAATTTAAAGCCGGCATTGTAACATTAATTTATAAATGGACAACAACAAAATCTAAATAAAATAAAATATACAGTTATATGAAAACAACCATAAAGATGTTATCTGAGACCAAAAACAATGCAAAGCATTCAAAAATAAACTATACAATATCAGACTTCTCAAAAATAATTATGAACAATATTATAGATAACATGGATTGAGAGGAGTGGATCAGCTTGCAGATCAAAGGAACCCAATTTCAATAGCATGCACACCAAATCAAATTGTTCTGCAAGACATAATGCTTGTTTCCACACCCGGACAAGTGTGGAAATATGTTACTAAAGCCAAATACGTTTGTGCCCCCCTAAAGCATCTTTTAAATGACTTGATTTGGAAAAGAAAATAATGAGCAATTCCATTTACGATTGGATGGGGGCCATTTCGGTAAAACGCAACCGTTTCCATTGCAATGACTTGGAGTGAGGGACCTCTTTGGACACTTCTACCTTGTCACCATGCAAAACAAGGGACACCTAATACAAATCCTGCTTTCCCCAGTCTTATAATGCTTTGGGATGAAAATGCCCCTTACAGAACCGCAACAGACATTTCCTGCATGAAAATGGCTTTACACCCTGCAGACAACCAATTCCCTACTTGCTTTTTCAGGAGGAGAGGCCGACTTTGCCAAACAACCTTTCGTTCTGAGACTAGTTATAAATCAAGAAGCATGATGACACCAGATCAGGTTAAGATAAGATAACCAGACAGGTTGCAGTATGTACATTTTTGGTAATCACTATGACTTGATGATCTAGTTCAAGTGAGTCAAGTCATTTAATGGCTGCAGGGATTCTGTTCACTCTCGACACATCATAATTGAAGTGAGGTGATATTCAGCAATCCATGATGGCAGAGTTACACAACAGCTTACAGTCACCTTAGAAATGGGATAAAATAGAATTATACTCAATTTGAATAAAAAGAAGCAGTCCTTTTTTAAGAAATTAAAACTCAGGTGTAGTATTTGGAATGCACTGTTATTTTTACAAACATTATAGATCATTGGCTTTTAACATTGGTCTGTTCAAAAATGAAAAAAATAAGCTAAAATGTCCTTTGGAACATATATTCACAGTCTTCAAAGTTCCGTTTTTGCAACAAGAAGGGAAAAAAAAGATGTTGCAGGGGCAAGGAAATGGTTTATTGTTTGTTTCATTTTCTTTTTCTTTTCCTTAAAGCTTAGCCAAAAAGCCAAAGGAGCATGCATCTAGGTATTCTTCCTTTCCAAATCTACATTAGCAGCAAAACATATGTCCTCAAAGACCAGACCTTATATAAATATATTTTTTTTTTACAGAAAGAAAACAAAAGAAAAAATGGATTTCATGTGTGACAGAAACTTCAACAAAACCTCTATTTTACAAACTGCAATGGCTCTGTAACGGTGCTACTCCACAATGCAAGGACAAGGGCCATTTTTGATTTTTGGTTTTCTTAGTATTTGACGTAAAAAAGCCACCTGTCTGCTTGCAAAGAAGCAAAAATGGCAACTCTGATGCGTACTTCTTTTATTTTAAAACTTTGTTTTCTTTCCTTAAAAACAGCAACAAATTCTCAAGTATAAAGAAGCCTCTTTTCTCATCTTTATGCACCAATGGTGAAAGTGTTAAGTCTTTGGATTTTCTTTTTGTTTTAAAGCATGAGAATTACTATTATTATTATTATTTTTTCATTTTCATATATGACAACACAAAATTTGAAATGAACATAAAACCTATAGCAGACTGAAGCCACACTACATGGAAACAAGTATCTGCTTTGTAGTGCTAAAGGAGAGGCAGTTATCTCCAAATCTACAAAGGCAGGGGGGCGGGGTGGGTGCAGAAAGAGGAAAGAAAGGAGGAATAGATAGATAGAAAGAGAGAAATTCAGACAGTGGTAAGTGCACTAAGGTAACACAAATATAACTGAACAATTTTCAAACACACCCCAGATTTCTCTTCGATTTTGGTCAATGCTGCACCAACCAAAGGTGAGAAACCCCTTGTGACAAAGAGATTTAGCTGGGAGAACAAAAACCAGAAGCTGGGAATTGGACAGAAATAGAGTAGAGATCGTTTTTCTGCTCCTTAATCTAGTCTATTGAAATGACCAAGACAACATCAAATGAAGCGCCTTAAAGTTGGACGATACAAAAGCTAAATGTACACAAAGATTTTTCAATCTACCATACTGTTTAAATTCATTTCCAATGCAACAATCTACTGAACACCAAAAATGTATATATCTATCATAAATACAGAAAGTTTTTTTCCTAAAAAAAATCTTTTTCCCCCCACCAAGTCTGCAATGCTCTTTGTGTCTGGGTAAAAGGGGATTAGTAACTCTCCCAATAAAACAAAAACAAAACAAAGCAAACAAATAAAAAATAAAATGATAATAATTAAGAAGGTTTAAAACCAGCAATTCAGCTACTCATTGAATGCCCAGAATATTTAGTTGAGTTAGTATCATTTCTGAATACTTTCTGCCAATAAATGTCATACAAAAACAGAAATGTCTATCATTTGTTTGGAACAAAATTAATTAAATAATGACTTTTTGTAACACAAGAAAAGGTTGTGAGCTGTTGACCTGAGAATAAAATAGACATTACATTATTTTTCTTTTCTTTAGCAAGCCATTGGTATCTGAATGCTTAGATAGCAAGAAAACTGTAAGACTATTCTCCCATACAGTACATACTGGCTTTATGTGACTGTGCTATTAAGCAGAAATACTTATGCAAACAAGGGACAGCTTGTTGACTCGTTCTTTGTAGAGAGAATTGTGGGACCATTCAAATAACTTTGAGGCAGTCCACTGCAATACAGCATTCCAATAGCAATAACTGACTGTTAACTGCTGTGATCTTTATTCATATATATACACTGCATATGTGCATATATATATATACAGTGGGTACGGAAAGTATTCAGACCCCCTTAAATTTTTCACTCTTTGTTATATTGCAGCCATTTGCTAAAATCATTTAAGTTAATTTTTTTTCCTCATT